TGGCGGGTTTCGGTTATTTGTATTGGCCAGATCACATTTAAATGACTTTCTTGCAGGAATTCGCCAAAAATCGAGGCAAAAGATGTGCAGTTCACACTGCAGAGGAAATACAAGATGTTTTTGTCGCCAAATCCTGGTTCCCAGGTGGGCGATCCGAATGCGCATGCGAAATCTCCGGCAACCGAGGCACATCGTCAGCGCATGGCTCTCATAAAAAAAGTTATACAAAAACCATGAACCTGTGAGATGTCCTGTTCTGTTAGTATCGGAGCAGGCACACTGAATGTACTAATATAAACAGGTTTTACGGGGAAGGAAATCCTGTGCAGGGTACCCAAGGTTCCTGGACCTTCCCGCACTAAGTTGGTACTTTTCCGGTCATAGGAACACCAGAATTAGCAGTGCCAATATCCTGTAAAAAAACCCGGAAGGCGAAGGCTCCTTGCTTGCCGACATTGCAATAAATCGAACTGTGAGGCAGTGGGCTTCATCACTGATTTTTCTTGCCTCAGTGCATTAACTTTCTTCGCTCCGTGTGGCATCTGGTTTAGTAGCTTTTTTATCCCCGTGATTGCTTATTCGCCAGCGCAGCCTTATTTTTTTTTTTCAGTTCTTCTTTAGTGGACTTTTGTACTGCTTCCTTCTTGCAACCTCATATACGAAAGAACTTTACACAGTCGCGCGATTTCTGCATTTTTATGGAAGAACATTGTGCGAATTGTAGAGAGACAGACAAAGTTTAGCAACCGGGTATTCTCGAGCAACGTTTTCTATGCCGAACTCTCTAGAATTGTGGCTTCCACTTTTTTCGTTGTGTAGCTTTGGTTTGCGCCGTTGTACAGTCCAAAGAGAGAGGGGAATTTCATTTTCCCTCATGTATGTCTGTGCAAGTGCGCGTTTGCCGCTAAGATTGTTTGCGTCATGCGGCATTCGACCAAATGTTAATGTTCTGTTTTTGTCTTTTTTGATCTGCTTTTGTTCCTCTGCTCTGTTTTCCCTCATCATATCATATGTTTTCTCGCTGCTTTCAGGAGTAATGCTATTGTTCTTTGCTCTGCCAGTAGTACTGGCGTGGTACCTTTGGTTCCCATTTAATAGTTTTTCGCATTTTTATCCAACGGAACCACCTTTTTTTCTTTCACTGTCCACTCACTTTCTGTGGGAAATATGACCTTGTTGAAACAACATTGTTGTTGCCCACGTTCTGCTTTTTTCTATACAAATTTCATGTCTTATAGTTAATTCGCTTTTGGCCTTGGTATTCAAAACTCGCTCTTGGTATTCAGAGTTTGATTTTCATCACACTGGCACGCCTCTTGCCCACCGTTTTAAGAACTGGGGCAAGCCATCATTAGGGTTATAATATTCCGCATCATAGTTCCGGTCCAGTTATTTACGTAGCCAGTACCAGGCGTACGTGCACCCAGCGGTGATGAGTTGCTGCTGGTACCATATGGCACTATGGCTGCAGACAAACCGGGGAACGGACGTTCATGAAATTTGATGCTCTGCGCCTGGATTACCGGGTGAGATATGATGGAAGCGGGCCGCCTTCTGATGGCGTGCTACTTCAAAGACGGTGCAGCACCCCGTATCGTCGTTGCGCGGTTTCGCCCTTATTCACACATATACGCATACAACCACCATTTGTTCGCACATACCTTCCTCAATTTTCTGTACTACTAATACATACGCTGTTGTTCAGTTGCATTTCGCATTAGCACACGGACACTTCCACAGTGAACACTGGGGTCTAGCACAGGCCGCGATAAACACTATCTAAAGCATCGGAGGGTGGCTACGACCGAAGTGCAGCCATTCGTGTACCTCATTGCCCTCGCAACTGTATGCGCGCCCGCGTAGATGCAAGAGAAACCACGCTGCTGGAAGTTGAGAGTCGCGCTGCCGGTCGCTGAGACACTTCGCTCACGGCCCATGACAACCGAGTATCCCTACCGGAAAGGTGACCATCGTTTGGAGCACTTGCAGTCGAGAAGTGCCTGCCTATTTCTTTGTGCACTGTACAGGGCGGGCGCGTTGTTGCCTTTTTCAAGCATAGAGGTGTTTGTCGCCGGAAGCAGCAGCGATTTTAACAGGAAGAACTGGAATTTGAAAGGGAGCGGCCATGCAGTTTTCCGAAACGATTTATTTTTTTAAAAATAATAAAATCGCTGTCCGAACACACTCCGAACATGCACAGTGCATCATTACTACCATATTAATCCACCGATGGATCAGTGATCAATTTCAGGAAATCTGCGTTCTCTAAGCGTTGAAAATGTCGCGGGGAAATTCCCAGTATAGCGGGGGATGCCCGCTGTTTTTGTGCTGCCT